GCTGCACTTACACCCCTACAACTTACACAGCTCCGCACTTACACCCCTACAACTTACACCCCTACACTTACACCCCAAAACAACTTACACCCCTACAACTTACACAGCTCCGCACTTACACCCCTACAACTTACACCCCTACAACTTACACCCCTACAACTTACACTCCGCACTTACACCCCTACAACTTACACCTCCTACACCCCTACAACTTACACCCCTACAACTTACACAGCTCCACTTGCACCCTACAATTACACCCCTACAACTTACTCAGCTCCGCACTTACACCCCTACAACTTACTCAGCTCCGCACTTACACCCCTACAACTTAGCACAGCTCCGCAATTACACCCCTACAACTTACTCAGCTCCGCACTTACACCCCTACAACTTACTCAGCTCCGCACTTACACCCCTACAACTTGCACAGCTCCGCAATTACACCCCTACAACTTGCACAGCTCCGCACTTACACCCCTACAACTTACACAGCTCCGCACTTACACCCCTACAACTTACTCAGCTCCGCACTTACACCCCTACAACTTGCACAGCTCCGCACTTACACCCCTACAACTTACGCAGCTCCGCACTTACACCCCTACAACTTACACAGCTCCGCACTTACACCCCTACAACTTGCACAGCTCCGCACTTACACCCCTACAACTTACACAGCTCCGCACTTACACCCCTACAACTTACACAGCTCCGCACTTACACCCCTACAACTTACACAGCTCCGCACTTACACCCCTACAACTTACACAGCTCCGCACTTACACCCCTACAACTTACACAGCTCCGCACTTACACCCCTACAACTTGCACAGCTCCGCACTTACACCCCTACAACTTACACAGCTCCGCACTTAAAAATGGATTTAAGAATCAATGTTTTACAGCTTCCGAGAGCTGTAGAATGAACATGTAAGAGACATAAACAGCCTTTCTGATCTTTTTCTCTACAGATCGAACAGCTAGAAAAGCAGAACGTTTGTAAGTCGAGAAGCTAGGCACGCAACTCGCTTGTAAGTCAAGGACCTCCTGTACTTTCATTGACTAAGGCTAGAGGCGGCTATCTTCTGGAATATATCAAATGTGTTAAATACGTAAAGAATAAAGAATTACTGAGATGGGTTAGACATCATGTCAGTCACCACCCTGGCTGTGACACCAGTGTTGGACTGCCAGTTGCTAGCACCAACAGCTTGATTGGTCAGGCTATCAGCCAAGAGGCCTGGCATGGGAACCGGCTTGGGGGAGGGGAAGGGAAGACGATGACTCCTCATAATCATGTGGCTAAACGTGAAGTTAATGCCAATGAAAATTTAATATTGCGAGTTGTTTGTCGGTGACAGAATCTTTGCAGAATTTAATAGAAATGTAATTGGAAAGAAATAACTGCTTCGTTGTAATATTTTTTAAAGGAATGGACGGGATTCCCTAGGTCTACTTAGCGCTTCTTTTTGATTATTATAATAATAATAATCCCTAGGTCTAGCTTGACCCCCACCCTCTTAACTACTTGACTACGAAGCTACAATGACCCTAACATTCTGTCTTAAGTAATGTCTGAAGGCGCTTCTGTTGTTGCATCAACTACAGGTTTTTTTAATTGGCAATTTCTCACCAACATTAGTCTGTGTGAGTAGATATAACAATATAACACGTCGCTTGAAGCCGTGTCAGTCCTTCAAGAAAATCGTAAATACTTGTAACTAACACTATTATTACATTTTACTTGACGCATTAAATCACACAGTGTTGGTAATGATATATATATATATATATATATATATATATATATATATATTTATATATAATATATATATAATATATATATTGTAACCCACGAACAAGTGATATTAATCAATAACAACACTGCGACTAGCTGAGGATTCGAACCCATGTTTAAAGATATATTTTTTTTCGTCTATGTTAATGTAAAAATGAATAATCTTGTACCAAAAGACGCTTAGAAAACTTGCCTAACCGTATTATAATAAGCGCAGTTTAATTTAGCCTAATCCAACGAAATATGTTTTAGATAAGTTTGCAATAATTTAATAAACAAATAAAATATATATATTTTTTCGTTAGGTTCATAATGATTTTTGCGAAATTAATGCATACACAAATTTTTGTTTGCCTTATTCGGCAAGAAGAGCGTTGCTATTTAACCAAAATAGAAATTACCTATTCGGCAACGACATTTATATATAAATATATATATTATATATATATAATATATATATATATATAATAATTTATATATATTATATATATATAATTAATATATATATATAATTTATTTTTATTATTATATATATTTTAAATAATATATAAAATATATATATTATATATATATAATATATATATTATATAATATATATATATATTATATATATAAATATATATATATATATATATATATATAATATATATATATATATATATATATATATATATATATATATAAAATATATATATATATATATATATATATATAATATATTATATATAATGAGGTGAGCGCTGAAGAGCCTGCAGACATACCTGTGATAGGGTTGTCAATATTATTGTGGCCTTCAACGATCAAGTACTTAAGTGAAGGATAAACACGTTATTAAAGCTCGGCTTTGACCCAACGACATTCCTTGAGAAGAGGTAGAATAAGTCATTTATGATTTTCCTAAAATAGTATATAATTGTGTCGTATTAAGACATTTGTTCAGAAAAAATGGGAAATTCTGAGTGAGAAGAATATTAGAAAGTAATTGGAAAATGCTTCAAGCAATTTACAACAACTAGAAACAGGAATATATTATTCACGATGTCCCTGACTTGTACGAGCTGTGTTCTAGAGAAGACTGAAGGAAACTGGTCGCATGTATGTAAGGAACTCCGTTATGGAAGAAGTCTGGGCCTCTGAAATCCTATTGTAAAATTGATTATCTTGTATTAGTTTTCACTGTGGAAAGTTAACAATCTAGGCGCTTGTTGTAGAGGGTGAGAAAATCTTGCGTATACGAAATACTAAGAATTGAGGAGCACTACAGTAGGCTTACTGGCCCATGCTTGGCAGCTTACACTTTCACCTTACTATGCTTATTCATATTTTAGTAACCTATTTTAAAGTTAAAAGTTTAAAGATACAAGCTACGAAAGAAGTAGTTTGTAAGTAGGAGACTCGGCTGTCTCTGGGCCCTAATGAGAGCTTAGGTAGATTTGTCAAAAAAATTGCATTTCTTTTACACCATTTAATTTACAGGGTCAAGAGCTGTTAGCCAACCTTAGCTCATTCTAAAACCTTTCCTAACCAAGATGTACTATCCCCCATTTTCCAGGATGCCACTCTCAGTTGTGGACTAGTACCCAGGTACCTATTTACTGCCCGGTAGAGAAGCTCGTGTGTCTTCACATGGCTGGAAATCGAATCAGCGTCTTTCGGTTGTGAGCCGAATGCGCTACCAGCCTAACATAAATAATCAATGAATTAAAAGAGTCACAGATGATAAATAGCATTGTGGTGAGTTTGAACAAGCTGAAGGGAGGTAGAGGCCATTTTTGTTCGTCAGGAGAAATGGGAAAGTGTATTGTGATGCTGATCTTAGTCATGTGATGCTGTTCTTGGTCATGTGATGCTGTTCTTGGTCATGTGATGCTGATCTTGGTCATGTGATGCTGATCTTGTTCATGTGATGCTGATCTTGGTCATGTGATGCTGATCTTAGTCATGTGATGCTGTTCTTGGTCATGTGATGCTGTTCTTGGTCATGTGATGCTGATCTTAGTCATGTGATGCTGATCTTAGTCATGTGATGCTGATCTTAGTCATGTGATGCTGATCTTGGTCATGTGATGCTGATCTTGTCATGTGATGCTGATCTTAGTCATGTGATGCTGATCTTAGTCATGTGATGCTGATCTTGTTCATGTGATGCTGATCTTGGTCATGTGATGCTGATCTTGGTCATGTGATGCTGATCTTGGTCATGTGATGCTGATCTTGGTCATGTGATGCTGATCTTGGTCATGTGATGCTGATCTTGGTCATGTGATGCTGATCTTGGGCATGTGATGCTGATCTTGGTCATGTGATGCTGATCTTAGTCATGTGATGCTGATCTTGGTCATGTGATGCTGATCTTGGTCATGTGATGCTGATCTTGGTCATGTGATGCTGATCTTAGTCATGTGATGCTGATCTTGGTCATGTGATGCTGATCTTAGTCATGTAATGCTGATCTTAGTCATGTGATGCTGATCTTAGTCATGTGATGCTGATCTTAGTCATGTGATGCTGATCCCTCCACACTCAGTGGAACATTTGCTCAGAGATCCGTGTTGTTGATGTGTGTCCATATGACGTTCCTTGTGACGTCGGTGATACGTGTTAATGTCCATATGACGTTCTTTGTGACGGTGACACGTGTTGATGTCCATATGACGTTCTTGTGAAGTCTGTGACACGTTTTGATGTATATCCGTCTGACGTTCCTTGTGACGTCGGTGATACGTGTTGATGATTTATATTCTTTTGGCGTGCGTTAATAACGCATAAATTTGACTTAATGTGCCTAATTATATAGATTCTAATATAAATTTAACATAATTACCTGGTCATGGACCGGGCCGCGGGGGCGTTGACCCCCGGAATAACCTCCAGGTAACACTTTCAAAAAGTTAGTAAATATTGTCATAGAAAAGGGAAACTTGATGCAAATATCCTTGTGACTTCTTGTGACTTGGGTACAAGTTTTCCTGGTAATGACGTCACGTGCCCTGGCCACGTGTGTGACGTCAGAGATCCGTGGTGGGTACCTGTGTCCTTGTGACGTCTGTAAGCTTTCCTGTTGGTGACGTTAAGTGCCCTGGCCACGTGTGTGACGTCAGGGACCCGTGGTGGCTACCTTTGTCTTTGTGACGCCTTTGTCCTTGTGACGTCTTGTGACGTCAGGTGTAAATTTACCTGCTGATAATTAATAATTTTTTTTTTTGTATTGCAGGCTGGCTGGCGACGGTGATGCCCTTCTTGCTCGGAGATGAAAGACAGTGCTTGCTACCCGGTGAGTGACTCGCCAGTACCAGTTACTCCGGTACCTGTTGCCAGTACCAGTTACTCCGGTACCTGTTGCCAGTACCAGTTACTCCGGTACCTGTTGCCAGTACCAGTTACTCCGGTACCTGTTGCCAGTACCAGTTACTCCGGTACCTGTTGCCAGTACCAGTTACTCCGGTACCTGTTGCCAGTACCAGTTACTCCGGTACCTGTTGCCAGTACCAGTTACTCCGGTACCTGTTGCCAGTACCAGTTACTCCGGTACCTGTTGCAGTACCAGTTACTCCGGTACCTGTTGCCAGTACCAGTTACTCCGGTACCTGTTGCCAGTACCAGTTGCTCCGGTACCTGTTGCCAGTACCAGTTGCTCCGGTACCTGTTGCCAGTACCAGTTACTCCGGTACCTGTTGCCAGTACCAGTTACTCCGGTACCTGTTGCCAGTACCAGTTACTCCGGTACCTGTTGCCAGTACCAGTTCTCCGGTACCTGTTGCCAGTACCAGTTACTCCGGTACCTGTTGCCAGTACCAGTTACTCCGGTACCTGTTGCCAGTACCAGTTACTCCGGTACCTGTTGCCAGTACCAGTTACTCCGGTACCTGTTGCCAGTACCAGTTACTCCGGTACCTGTTACCAGTACCAGCTACCCTGGTACCGGTTTTCGGTGCCAGGGTTATCCTGATACCTGTTGCCAGTACAGTTTCCTTGTTAATACTGGGTACTTGTTGACCAGTACCAGTTTCCTGTCCATACCTGTTGCCATTGTACCTATACTTTCGGTACCATTCTTGACCAGTTACTTATAGCAGTACCGTTTCTGTTACCGTATTTTAAGTCTCGGTACCTGTTCAGTACCAGTTATCTCTGTTACCTGTATGTTCCAGTACCAGTTTCTCCGTACCTGTTCCAGTACCAGTTTCGTACTGTTTAGTACAGTTCCATTGTACCTGTACTGTTCCAGTACCGTTCCTTATACCGTACCTGTTACCAGTACCGTTTCCGTACCTGTTGCCAGTACCTGTTACTCCGTACCGTTTACCAGTACCATGCTACCTGGTACCTAGGTTTCGGTGCCAGGGTTACTGATAACCAGTACCAGTACATTTTCCTTGTTACTGATACTTGTTACCAGTACCAGTTTCCTTGTTACAACGTACCTCAGTTTCCTTGATACCTATACTTGTTACCGTACCGTTCCTTGATACCTATACTTTATAACAGTACCAGTTTTCTTGTTACCTGGTACTTTTTATTAGTATCAGTTTACTTGTTACCAGTACTAGTTTTCTTGTTACCTTGTACTTGTTACAGTACCGTTTTTCTTGTACTTGTTACCAGTACCGTTTCTTATTTTCTATACCAGTTTCCTTGATACCTGATACTTTTACCAGTACGTGTTCCTGTATACCTGATACTATAGTACCATTTCCTTGATAAATTGATACTGTTACCTACCAGTTTCCTTGATACCTGATACTTGTTAACAGTACCAGTTTCCTTGATACCTGATACTTGATAACAGTACCAGTTTCCTTGATACTTGTTAACAGTACCAGTTTCCGTAATACCTGGTACTTGTTACCAGTACCGGTATACTTATTATCTTCCATATACAGTAGTTGTTTCCCGGTGTGTGTCTAAACTTTCCACCATGACTGCTTCCTGGCCTCCTGAGCCAATGTCATACCTGCTCTTGAAACTCTGCATGGAGTTTACCTCTACCACTTACACATCCAATGCATCCCACTTCCCTATCGAGCTGGGAGTGAAGTGTGTCTTAGTTACTGTGTGTTATTAGTCATAGGCACTTGTTAGTAAGACACTTGGCCTGTTTAGTGTGTGTACTCAACTGTATGTTATTGTAGGGGTCGATTTACAGCTCCTGGCCCGTGTGTGTGTGTGTGTGTGTGAGAGAGAGAGAGAGACAGAAAGACAGAGACAGAATTTGGTCTGCTGAAGAGGGCCTTAAATTGGGGCCGAAATATACTGTATTTTTTCGTCCGTGTGGGTTCGTTTTAGCACAAATACGGTTGTCCATTGAACAAAAAATGGAAGGAAAACACCGATAAAAGAGAATTTATATAGAAAGAATTCCAGGCGTCAGCAAAGAACTTGTAAAATGTCAGGAGGAAGAAAAAGGTGAAAAAAGCGATGGGATTTTCAGCTTGCGGCGGTGACTGTCAGCAACACGCATGGCAGCAATACTCAACAGTGTCAGCAACACGCATGACAGCAATACTCAACAGTGTCAGCAACACACATGACAGCAGTACTCAGCACAGTGTCAGCAACACGCATGACAATACTCAACAGTGTCAGCAACACGCATGACAACAATACTCAACAGTGTCAGCAACACGCATGACAACAATACTCAACAGTGTCAGCAACACACATGACAGCAATACTCAACACAATGTCAGCAACACATGACAGCAATACTCAACACATATGTCAGCAACACACATGACAGCAGTACTCAACACAGTGTCAGCAACACACACACATACAGCAATGCTCAACACAGTTGTCAGTAACACACATGACAGCAATACTCAACACAGCTACCAGCAACACACATGACAGCAATACTCAACACAGCTATCAGCAACACACATGACAGCAATACTCAACACAGCTATCAGCAACACACATGACACCAATACTCAACACATATGTCAGCAACACACATGACAGCAATACTCAACAGTGTCAGCAACACACATGACAGCAATACTCAACACAGTGTCAGCAGCACACATGACAGCAATACTCAACACAGTGTCAGCAGCACACATGACAGCAATACTCAACACAATGTCAGCAGCACACATGACAGCAATATTCAACACAGTTGTCAGCAACACAAACCTTCAGCCGCTGTATTTGCACCTTAAAAACTGACGCTAAACATTAAGGAAATCAAAAGGTTGACAATTTAAAATATCAGAGAATGTAAACATTAAGAAATACTGGAGAACCGAGGATCTCTGCTAGTGATCCTTGGACAGTGTTCCCATAAGACTCTTGGACAGTGTTCCCATAAGACTCTTGGACAGTGTTCCCATAAGATTCTTGGACAGTGTTCCCATAAGACTCTTGGACAGTGTTCCCATAAGACTCTTGGACAGTGTTCCCATGAGACTCTTGGACAGTGTTCCCATAAGACTCTTGGACAGTGTTCCCATGAGACTCTTGGGCAGTGTTCCCATAAGACTCTTGGACAGTGTTCCCATAAGACTCTTGGACAGTGTTCCCATGAGACTCTTGGACAGTGTTCCCATAAGACTCTTGGACAGTGTTCCCATAAGACTCTTGGACAGTGTTCCCATAAGACTCTTGGACAGTGTTCCCATGAGACTCTTGGACAGTGTTCCCATGAGACTCTTGGACAGTGTTCCCATAAGACTCTTGGACAGTGTTCCCATAAGACTCTTGGAGAGTGTTCCCATAAGACTTTTGGACAGTGTTCCCATGAGACTCTTGGACAGTGTTCCCATAAGACTCTTGGACAGTGTTCCCATAAGACTCTTGGACAGTGTTCCCATAAGACTCTTGGACAGTGTTCCCATAAGACTCTTGGACAGTGTTCCCATAAGTCTCTTGGACAGTGTTCCCATAAGACTCTTGGACAGTGTTCCCATAAGACTCTTGGACAGTGTTCCCATAAGACTCTTGGACAGTGTTCCCATAAGTCTCTTGGACTGTGTTCCCATAAGTCTCTTGGACAGTGTTCCCATAAGACTCTTGGACAAAGTTCCCATAAGTCTCTTGGACAGTGTTCCCATAAGTCTCTTGGACAGTGTTCCCATAAGACTCTTGGACAGTGTTCCCATAAGTCTCTTGGACAGTGTTCCCATAAGTCTCTTGGACAGTGTTCCCATAAGACTCTTGGAGTGTTCCCATAAGACTCTTGGAGAGTGTTCCCATAAGTCTCTTGGACAGTGTTCCCATAAGTCTCTTGGACAGTGTTCCCATAAGTCTCTTGGACAGTGTTCCCATAAGTCTCTTGGACAGTGTTCCCATAAGTCTCTTGGACAGTGTTCCCATAAGACTCTTGGACAGTGTTCCCATAAGACTCTTGGACAGTGTTCCCATAAGACTCTTGGACAGTGTTCCCATGAGACTCTTGGACAGTGTTCCCATGAGACTCTTGGACAGTGTTCCCATGAGACTCTTGGACAGTGTTCCCATAAGACTCTTAGTGTTCCCATTAGTCTCTTGGACAGTGTTCCCATAAGACTCTTGGACAGTGTTCCCATAAGACTCTTGGACAGTGTTCCCATAAGACTCTTGGACAGTGTTCCCATAAGACTCTTAGTGTTCCCATAAGACTCTTGGACAGTGTTCCCATGAGACTCTTGGACAGTGTTCCCATGAGACTCTTGGACAGTGTTCCCATGAGAGACTTGGACAATGTTCCCATAAGAATCTTGGACAGTGTTCCCATAAGACTCTTGGACAGTGTTCCCATAAGACTCTTGGACAGTGTTCCCATAAGACTCTTGGACAGTGTTCCCATAAGTCTCTTGGACAGTGTTCCCATAAGTCTCTTGGACAGTGTTCCCATAAGACTCTTGGACAGTGTTCCCATAAGTCTCTTGGACAGTGTTCCCATAAGTCTCTTGGACAGTGTTCCCAAAAGTCTCTTGGACAGTGTTCCCATAAGTCTCTTGGACAATGTTCCCATAAGACTCTTGGACAGTGTTCCCAAAAGACTCTTGGACAGTGTTCCCATAAGTCTCTTGGACAGTGTTCCCATAAGACTCTTGGACAGTGTTCCCATAAGTCTCTTGGACAGTGTTCCCATAAGTCTCTTGGACAGTGTTCCCATAAGTCTCTTGGACAGTGTTCCCATAAGTCTCTTGGACAGTGTTCCCATAAGTCTCTTGGACAGTGTTCCCATAAGACTCTTGGACAGTGTTCCCATAAGTCTCTTGGACAGTGTTCCATAAGTCTCTTGGACAGTGTTCCCATAAGTCTCTTGGACAGTGTTCCCATAAGTCT